ATGTTTGTTAGGTTTTTATTAACCGTAACATTTAAAAAAAAAATTAAATTTGTTATATTGAAATATTAAAAAAAGGCGAATAAGAAATAGGTTTAAAAAATAATAATAATATATATATATATATATATATATATATATTTATATAATATATATATATATATATATATATATATATATATTTATTAAAAAATTAATATAAATTCTATATTTAAAAAAAATTGTTTTTAAATTTATAGTATAAAATAATTTATTTAATTTAATTTAATTTAATTTAATTTAATTTAATTTAATTCTGCATTTATTATAGATATTAAAAAATTTTCATTCATTATTTATTTTTGATAATGTAATTTTTTAACAATTATATTTTTCATAATTATTATAAATTTTTAATTAATTATATAAAAATATATATATTTAATAATAAAATAAAAATACAATTCAAATTTTTATTATTTATTAAATATATTAGCATTTAACAAAATTCTATATTATTATTTTTTCTTTAAAAATACAATAATTTAAATCTGATAATTTAAAAATATTATTATTAATTTAAAAATTTTTATTTTAATATCAATTTTTCTAAATGATTTAGTTATTTTATCTTAATTAATTAATAAATATTAATATATTATATCACAAAAATTTTTAAATAATAATTCATAAACAATAGCAAATTTATATATACTTTATAAATATTATTTATAAAATCAAATATAATTTCTTTTTTCTTAAAAAAAATAAAAAAAATTATAAAAATAATATTAAAAATAATAAAAAAATTTATAATATAATATTATAAATATAGAACATTATTTAAAACCTCAAAATAAAAAAGCTGTCAATAATTAAAAAAATATTATACTTGAAATAAATAAAAATAAATAAACTAATAAATGAGTGAGCAAAAAAAATATTTTGTATAAAATGAACTTAACCATTACAATTAAATATATATATTAAATGGAAGTATAAATTTAGATAATGAATAATTAATAAGTATAATATCTTGTTTATTAGAAGAAATACTTCAAATAACTGATTAATAAGAAAATAAATTTCCTTCAATTTTTCATAATAAAAAACTTCCGACTATTTCAATTCGAGACTATTTATTAAGAATAAATCGAATATGTCATTGCTCTTAAGAATGCTTTATATTATCAATAATTTATATAGATAAAATAATATAAAGATAAAAGGAATTTGTTGTAAATAGTTTTTGTATACATAGGTATTGTTAATATTATTTAAATTAATTTATATTTTTAATTAATAAAGATTATTACTTGCTTCTATTATGGTTGCCGCTAAATTTTTTGATGACAAATATTATAATAATAGTTATTATGCAAAAGCAGGAGGAGTAAGTAGTGTAGAAATAAACTATTATGAAAGAAGTTTTTTATAATTAATTAATTTTAATTTATTTGTAAAGGAATACTAATTTTATAATTACAGATAAAAATTATTAGATTCTTATTAATAATAATTGTAAGGAAGTGAATCATAAATTTGAATAAAAACATAACGCATATAAATAAAATTTGATATACAAAGGATATATAAAAAAGTAAATTATAAATTATAAATTAATATATATTAATTAACAAAAAATAATATATTTTAAAGATAAAAATATGTTTTTAATTAAAACAAAAATAAAATATATGACACAAAAATAATATCATATTTACAAATCTAAAATATATTTTCCTTATCCAGAATTACTTAAACTTTAATTAATAACTTCATTTACTTAGTTCAAAGGAACTATTTATTAAATTCTTGTTTCAAATATTCCTATAATTTCGTTCTTAATAAGTTCTTTTACTTCACTTTCTAAAAACTCATCGCTTTTTTATTCAATCCATCTACTAAGCCAAAAACCTTAAATATATTTTTACTTAAAAACAAGTTCAATAGGGTCTATATCTTAAATTTTTAAATTAGAAAATTTGCCATATACAACCATTTTTCCTTTAGGAATTAAATATTTAAAAATAACAGATGAAAAAATTCCTCCACCTATTGCATCATAAAATACACTAGTTTATTCATTTAACATAATTTAGCTTATTTTTTTTTCAAAATTTTCATCATTTTAATTAATTACATAATTAGCACCTAAATCTAATAAAGAGGCTATTTAATCATCTTTTCTTACTAAACATATTGTTTTTATTCCCTTATTTAGAAAAAGCTTAATTATCATTCGCCCTACTGCGCTGTTTGCAGCATTTAAAACTACACTTTTAGCATTACTTTATTATGCTATATCTAAAAAACCTATAACTGTTACAGGATTTATATATGGACTGCTAAACTTATAAAAATTATTTTAGATTTCTTCTATTTATTTATCTAATACTATTATGTCTTTATTTCGGCATATAAAATGTGTTGACCAAGTACCATAATTTAAATCTTCATGCGACCAACACATAACTTTTTTACCTATTAAATCCTTCCTTGTGCTATCTTGAATCACTCCACATCCTTCAAATCCCCCAGTTGTTGGAAGGGGTTTCTTTATACCATAAAAACCTTTAATGAAATAAACATCTGAAGGATTTATTGGGGCATATTTCATTTTTATTAATGATTATTCTTATTCTAATTTTGGAATTGGTATTTCTTTTATATTAATTTTTTAACCATACCTTAATACTTAGGCTACTTTCATTTTTTTAATAATTATATTTAATATATTGTTTATTTAATTATAATATATATTTTTTGAAATAAAATATTTATTTTATGTTTTTAATTTTTTATTAATATGTATTAAAAAAACATGTAAACTATCTTTTAATTTTCACCCATCTATTTCTTAAATATTATTCATATAAATAAATACTATAGAATAAGAGCATAATATACAGTATAATGTAATCCCAAGATTTTTATTAAGAAATGTATGTAAATCAAATATAAATAATTAAATATTGTACCCTTGAAAAATATCTGATTTGCCAATAGAATTGCATATAATTATTGTATATAAAATTTCAAAAATTAATTCAATAATAAAAAGTATTTAAATTCTTAATAATTAAGGTTTAATTTTTTTAAATAACTCAATTCTTTTTCATCAAAAATTACAATATTTACATATAAAGTAAACATAACTCCTAATAAATGTAAAATATCTGCAAATTAAATTAATTCTAAATTTTGAATTAGTTAGTATTAAAATTATGCTTTTTCGAACAATTAGGATTAGTATTCTTATTTTTTAAAAAATTTGTATTAATCATACCATGTAGTATATTTCTTTAAGAACTTATCTATTCTTTTGCTTTATTTTTTTAAAACCTAGTTTTTATAAAAATTTTGCATTGATAAATTTAAATATTATATCTTGCTTAAATATTATAAACAATAAATTTAAATACAAACTTAATTAATATTATACCAAAACCTTCTACATATGCATTAAAATCAAAATAAATAATCCTATAAGGCAAACTAGCAAAAAAAAGAGAAACAAACTAAATTTACCATTAGAAATCAATTTTAAAAAATTAGTTTATTAATCCTGGTAAAGACTTAATTATTCCTATAATCAAAGGATATAGAGAACAAGCTATCCAAATAAATTTATTATTTCTTTCTGTTAATGAAGAAAATATTTAAGTAAAATTAAGACTAAAAATAATTTGTAAATTTTAAAAAATAAATATAAGAAATATAGTTAAATTTAATTTAACAAAAGAAATCATATTTTAATCTTGTTTAATGATTTCTATGTTATTATTTTTATTAATTATTTATAAATCTTATTTGTTTTAAACATTTTATTCTTCTAAAATATAAAGATTATTTATCTAGTCTATTACTTATTTATTCAAATCAAAGTCTGATTATTATATTTCTTATTTAACTTTTAAATTTATATTATTCAAACCACTTATTTGCATTAAAAATACATCTTTAAAATTTTAATTTAATTATAATTTAAGATAACATAAACCAAATACAATTAAAAATACAAAACCATTAACTAAAGGGAGCAAAACAAAAGAAAATTTATTTACCACTATTTTTTCATTTTATATAAATTAAAAAGTCCATAAATATCCAATTATATAAGAAAAAGAATAAAATATTATTATAAAAAACTTATTTTAAATTATTATTAAGCTATTTTTATGTAAATAATAGTGAGATTATATTAATGAATGGTAAAATAAAGCTGAAACTATGCTAAATAAGGGTACATTTAGAAATCTAAAAAGGTTACAATTTTTGTTTGATGATAAAAGTAAAGGAAAAAAAGTAGCAGATAAAACACAAAATAATATTTAAACGCAGAATTATTTGAATAAACTTTTGTTTATTATTAATTGAGGCATTATAAATTAGGATCCTTAATAGGTTCTATTATTTTTTTTATAAATTTAAAAATATATTAATTGATAAATTTTTTTTAAATATATTCAATAAATTTTATGTATAATATATAATATAAGAAAATAAAGCTAATTAATATTATATATGAAAATAATATTAATATAAAATAAAATTTTTTAAAAAAAATAAATAAATAAAAAAAAAAAAAATTATAAAAAAAATAATTAATATAAATAATATATAAATAAAAAATAATATAATAATTTTATTTTACATAATTTTTAAATTAGTAAAAAAATCTACTATATTATTAAAAATCATAATATAATAAA